AGCAACCTAAGTGTCCATCAGTAGCTGAATAAAGAAAGGTAGTACATATACAGAATGGAATACTATTCAGCCATAAGAAACAAATCCTACCATTTGCAACAACATGGATGGAGCTGAAGGATATTATGTCAGTGAAAATAAGCCACGCAGAGAAAGACAAGTGCCAAATGATTTCCCTCATTTGTGGAATATAACAATGAAGCAAAACTCAAGGAATAAAACAGCAGCAGACTCAAAGACTCCAGAAAGGGACTAGAGGTTACCAAAGGGGAGGGTTATGGCTGGGAAGGGAGGGAGAAGGGGATTGAGGAGTATTATGTTTAGTATACATGGTGTGGGGGGTCACGGGGAAGACAGTGTAGCACAGAGAAGGCAAATAGCAAATCTGTAAGTGTATATTAATAATACCTTAATAAAAAAAATTGGACAGAAGACATGGACAGCCTTGCCCTTCACGTGCATACATATCTGTAAATAGAGTGGCATATAATATTTATTTGTCTTGATTACAGTTGACCCTTGACTAATACAGGTTTCAATGGTACAGGTCCACTTTTACACAGATTTTTGTCAATATATAGTGGAAAATAATTTAGAAATTTGAGACAATTTGAAAAACATTTTCTTTTCTCTAGTTTAACTTTATTGTAAGAATACAGTATATAATATATATAACATACTAAATAAGTTTTAATTAATTATTTATGTAATTAGTAACACTTCCAGTCAACAGGAGGCGATTAGTAGTAGTTAAGTTTTGAGGCAGTCAAAAGTTTTATGTGAATTTTCAATTCTATGGGGTCAGTGTCCCTAAACCCCATGTTATTCAAAAGTCAACAGTTTATCTAATCTATATTAACAACATTTCATGCCCCTATAGGTCAGAGCAAGGATCTTCCTGCAGTATTCAAGAAAATCCAATGGGGAGGGAGAAAAATAATTAGAGGGTTTATTATTTTTGATTAATACTTTTCCTTTTTATTTTTTCAATCTGTTTTCATAAGGTACATCATATTATGTATATTTTTTGAAAGGTACATAGCGTATATTAATATGCTAGTATGTGAACATTATTTAAAATACATAAATACACACATAATAGGGTTTTCTACAGTCCTGTCTACCATACATCCTCAACCTTCCATCCCTACATAAAAAGATACTTCTAACATCTTTGCTTTTTTCAAATACATGAATCCTTCCCTGGCTACCTAGGGAACAGTCTGTGATAATAATTGCCACAGATCATTATTTTTCTGTACTGTAATTATTCAGCAAGGCTATAAGCAATTCAGACAGGGTGTCTATATCCATTTCAGACAGTGTGTCTGTAAGCATTCGTCTTTGGCAACACAGCAATATGGCATTATGGCATGATTTTTAAGAATGCAGGTTGCAAGCCAGGTTGCCTGGATTCAAATCACAATTCTGTTACTGATTAGATGTGCAATCTTCATTAAGATGTCTGTGCTTCTATTTCTTTGCTGTAAATGGAAGTAATAATATTCTCTCCATTAGAGGGAATATTATAATATTACATAATAGGGTTTTTGAATGAGTTCATCTATGGAAAATGCTTAGAAGAATGCCTGGCACATAGTAAGTGCTCAGTAAGTATCACTATCTTTCTAGCTCCAATGTCTAATAGAGCAAATACAATGGAGGGAAGTGAGAAAAATGAGTTGTAGAGAAACATATTATATTACTTGTTAAAATTTTGAAAGTGATTGTTTTCATTTAAACTTTCCCAGAAAGATACTGTAACTTCAAGGCAAAGTGATTCACTAGTGCCAACTAACAGTTGGTTTGTTATTGACAAATAAAATATATAAATTACAAACATGTAAGACAATAAACACCTTCAAGTTCTGCTCTTACAGCCTGATACGGTGAGGCTATAAGACAATTCTTAGCTAAACATTATTACTGGGATTATTTCTTTAAGAATAGCCTTTTAACTTTAATTTCTCCCCTGGTGGACATCATCAGACACAGGTTCACTGTGTACTGCAAGCAGAGATTCTAGGTTTCTGTAGATAATCTGTAAGATGTAGACCCACAAATCCACCTCTTCTAAACATACTATTGATAATCTATGCTAGAAGAAAGGTACAGTGGCAAGAATTGTTACATTTCATAAGGGGAGAGGGGTTACAGAGATTATTTCCCCAGCCCCCACACTTCACAGATCAAGATACTGGGCCCAGGGAGGGTCAGTGTGTCACCTAAGTCCCATAAACGATTTGTGACAGAATTCTTCTCATTTGATTTCTTAGTTTAATGCACAAAAGTGTATTATTTGTATTAAGGGAAGTAAGGGAGCTACACTGTAAATAACCAGCTTAGTGCATGACACACAGGGGCCTTCAATAAATGCTTGCTGAAGGATGGGTGGAGGGATTGAAGCCTAGTTGGCTGGCTGTGAGGTACATGGTTTCTAAACTAGCTCGACACTCGGGTCTCTCAAGTGGTGCCAGTAAGGTGGAGCTGGTGAGAATCACTTCTTTAACAATACCCAGCAAAAGACTTAAAGGCATTCTTTTAATCTTGTTTTTTCCCCCTGTATTCATGCTTGGTATTTCATTAAATGAAGAAGGATAATCAAATATAAAAAAAAATTTTCCTTTTGAAATTTTTTCCCAATTCTAAAGGTAATACAGTAAATATATAGTAAGTGTAGCAAATACTGTAAAATTTTGGGGAATAAAGTGAATAATAATTTTAATAATAAAAGCTGAATTTTGAGATCTACTTTCATGCCAGGCATATTGCAAACATTTGACATGTGTTTTGGCATTTAATCCTCACAGCAACTTTCGGTTACAAACATACTGCTACTATCATCCCCATTTTACAGATGAGAAAACTGAAGCAAAGAGGTATTAAGGAATTTGCTCAAAGTTTTACAGGCAGTAAGTAATGGATTAGGGATCTGAAACTAGACAGTGTGGTTCCAGAGTCCATGGTCTTAACTAATCTTTTATACTGCCACTATTCAAATTTTGGATTCCTGTACAAATTATAAAGAAAATAAACTGATTTAAAAATTGACAAATTTGACTACATTGAAATTTTAAACTTCTACATCATGAAAGACACAATAAAGAACGTGAAAATGCAAGCTACAGACGAGAAAAGATAATAGCAAAACATAATCAACCAAACAGTAATTTATACAATATGTAATGAATTCCTACAAATCCATAAGAAAAAGACAACCAATACACAAAAGAAAAATGGACAAAAACTATAAACAAGCAATTTATGAAGAAACCCAAGCGACCTCTCAATACATTAAAGGATGCCCATCTTACTAATAATTATGGGATGCAAATTAAAAAGTCAGATACCATTTCACTCATCAAATTGGAAAAAAATGTAAATTCAATAATAGCAAGTGTTGATGTAGATATGGAGCAATGAGAACTCTCCTATTCTGCTATAAATTAGTATTCCATTTACGAGAACAATAATTCCAAGTAATGTTGAGGACACATATATTCCACAGTCCAAATATTCCACTCCTATGCCCATTTCTCCCTGGAGAAATGCATGTACATGGGAGAAAATAAATGTACAGGGATATTCATAGCAGTATTTGTGCTAATATTCAAAAAATGTAAACTAAATATCCATCAACAGTAAAATAGGTAAGTAAATGGTGGATTACTCATATGTGAAATACTAAACAGCAATCAAGATATATTAGCTAAAATGTAACAAAGAAAAATTTTTAAAATAACACATTTCAGAAAAATACATTCAATATGCTATTTACATAAATTTTAAAAATATGGAAAGCAATACTACATTTAGGTGTGTTTAAAAAGTATAAAACATGCATGGGAATGATACCTACCAAATTCAAGACAGTTACCTCTGGGGCAGGAAGGATAGAGTAAGATTAAGGAAAAGACACATAGGGGTTTCAATTGTATCTATAATATTTTACTTAAAATTTTTCTAATGTATGTAGTGAATTAAGATTTTACAAATTTGTGTGGCAGCATGTAATGGTTCATTATCTTTTCCATACTTTTCCGTATGCTTGAGATTTTTTCAGATTTTAAAGAAATACTATTAACACACAGAAAGCAAAGCACCAATAATGAAGAGTTTCATGATTTTAGGGACAAGGAAGATTAATAATCTGCTTGCACACCGATGAATTAAATCATAAACTCAACTGATATTTTTCTCTTTTCATTAGAAACATCAAAGGCAGAAAATTCTTTCTTGCTATTATAAATTAATTTGGATAATTATATAAGTATAATTATATAACCAAGATGTGGAGCTAATGTGACCCTCATATATTATTTTTTATTTTCCATAATGGCTAACTATTACAGGCAGTAATGTCCCCTATTTTGGTGGAGATGAGGGTCCTGAATATAAATCCTTGACTTATCCAAGGATAGATCTAGATAAGTCAAGGATTTATATGTTTAAAGGAATGAATGGTTAAAGGAATGAGTCATTCTTTTAATTAGACTTTAATATTAGACTTTGTGGTCATAATAAAGTAACCCAAAGTATTTTGAAGCAGTAATTCTGATGCTTTTATTTTAATGTGCCAAAGGCTGAGGAATTTAAAACATTTTTAAAATTTCTAAAGGAAATACTATAATGTGAATCTGTAGAAAGTTAGAACAATTAGTAAATTTACCACTTAGGTTGTGGTTGGAGGTATGACCTGGGTCCCTGAGGTGGAATGCTTGGTGGGTGAAGATCAAATACAGTCTGTTTACCCATAGACATTAAATGGCCTTAATCAAAGCAAAACATTTTTTTTTAAATGTTGATTTTAAAAACAGGAGTGTAAATAAGACTGTGATTTATGAATCTATTAATGTTGTTCTCTGCTGTAGACTTCAGAAAGATTGAGTGTTTGGCTACAGCACATATAACAAGAGTGCAGACCTGTTAAAGCAGTAATAGGTGCCCTTACTAAAACTTCACTTCCATTAAGAATTACAAATTGTTTTCCTTACTTTCAGGCCTTAAAGAATGCGATCCAGAAGCAGTGTCACAGAGGGCTCAGCCCCAAAGCAATTTCCAAGACATAGTAAAGACCGCAGGTTCCAAGGGTCTGAGGACATGAAGCAGAGACAGCAAGACAAAGACCCCACCAGTGAGTCAGATGCAATCCTTCCCTGTCCTAAGCCACACAGTGGTAATGGTCACCAAGGAGAGGACCTCTCAAGAGACGACTTATTATTTCTTCTGAGCATTTTGGAGGGAGAACTGCAGGTCAGCTGGGTTAAAATTATGCTCACCATGCTTCAAAGGGAAGGCTGCTTGTGAATTTGCTGTGTATGCTGCCACAGAAATAGTTATCTGTGGCTCATGCTTGTAAGAAAGTGTAAGTGTACATACACAGAATCCTCTTCTGCCAGTTCCAAGGGCAATTAATTACATCTAAAAGACCTCTAATTATGACATGCAACTGGCATGTATGTTGTGAAAGGTCAGATCCTTTGCCCATGCTGCTCCTGAGTTTCAGGGCACAGACACATAAGGGTAACAATAGTAACAGATAACTTCCGGGTTTGTTTAAATAACAGTAGGCACTTCTGTACCCATGGTAACTGTCTTCTAGACTTGCCCTGGTATTATTAACCTACATTAAAAAACTAAAAACTGCTGCTACACATATAGGAGAATCTATTTTCTACCCCCTAAAATGAAAATGCCAGTTCATTGAGAGTATCAAGTAATCTGCTTGTCAAACAGTAAAAAAATGTAGGGTCCCCCAATGTTGTATAGTGATCACTTTTTAAAACATTATTAATGTGTAATTTAGTTGGAAGAAGGATGAAGGGACATAGTTTAGCGACTTTTTCTAATAAGTTCTATAACTACAATTTGTTTATATTTGAAAGAGAAGATAAAAAATAACTCTCACAATAAATCACTTTCGGAGACTGCTGGTAGATAGAGCAGGCTTTCTGAAATGCCTTTTGTTCCTACAGGCTAGAGATGAAGTCATCAGCATTTTAAAGGCTGAAAAAATGGACTTGGCTTTGCTGGAAGCTCAGTATGGGTTTGTCACTCCAAAAAAGGTGTTAGAGGCTCTCCAGCGAGATGCTTTTCAAGCAAAATCTGCCCCTTGGCAGGAGGACATCTATGAGAAACCAATGAATGAGGTATGTATCTCATCAGGGGTTGTGCACCTGGGAGGTGGAAGAAGCTTACCTGACAGCCAAGCACAAGGCCTGGCAGGGAAGCATGACAAACATATAACTCCTTTTGATTATTTACAGTTTTATATCCTAAGGCACTTAAAATCTACCCAAGGTAGACAAATACTACATTCTCTACAGGAAAGAAAAGAATAAATCGTGGACAGGATGTTTCCACTAGGTTTGTTTCTTGACATCAGGCTGAAAACTAACAAATGCAAGAGAATTCCCCACCCCCTTCACTCTCTCTCTCTCTCTCTCTCTCTCTCTCTCTCACACACACACACACACACACACCTGTTCTTTTGGGGATTTTAAGGCTATTCAGGCTATAATAGAAAACAGATAAAGTTCAACCATAGAGGTTAATTTCTTTGAAAACACTGAGGTACTATGTCACAGAAATTTTTGAATGGAATGGAAATAGCCTGAAGAACTGTTCAAAAAAAAGCATTTTAGAAAGCATATTTTCTAGATGAACGCATATCCTCTTTTTCCTTCGAAAGTGCCATGACAGTGAAGTCCTCTCCCCAGCAATGGCAAGTGTGCCCAGCAACACCAACAGCAAAGATGCACGGTCCCAGCGCAGCCACTGCTGCACACAGATGTGGTGCTGCCTGCTCTTTTACTTGCTGACATTTCTGAAACTTTTTGGCACTCTTATTTTATTCTTCTATTTTCCTCAGAGACCTCAATGGAAAATTTCATAATTTTCACTTTTTTATAAAAAGGAAACAACTAGGAGCATGAATTAAGGCTGGAGAGAGTGAAAGCAAGTTTTGGACAAATTTCCCTCACATAAGCTCTGGCAACCTCCTTCAGGACTGACCTCTAATGTCCTTGCTATTCTCGTCTTGGGTGCCTCCTGAGAGAAGACTACTGTCTTGCCAAATTGTGAACGAGTTTGGTCATATGTATCTGTTTCACTGAGGGGTGAGGTTGAGACCACCCAAAGTCTGTTGACTTGTGCTTTAATCCAAATTTTAAACAAGAGGAACTGAAGCTGCATTCAAGTCAATAATGTTAAAACTGCTTGCTGGCTCCCAATATGGTAATTATGAAACAGCATTAGGCACAAATTCCCCAACTCATATAAGCACAAATGCAAATGAATGATCCCTAAACATATACTAACAAAACTCCACAAATGGCACAAGCCCCAGCACTTCAGTGTGAAATGAAACAATGATTCCAAACTTATGCTGCAATCCTTAGGAAAAAGTTTTAGTTACAAAATAATTCTACTGCACACATGCAAAACTGGAAATACCCTCTCTACAAATGTTTGTCCCTGAAAGTTACCCATAATTTAGCAGTGCTTTATAAATCCAACCTTCTGTGATTATTTCCCCCAACTGATACCCCTATGAATACACACTTACCACGTTCCTGCTTCCACGATTTGCCCGCTTTCTTCTCTTGCCTTCTATTTTCCCCTTAACAGATTTCTCTATCCTCAGCTATTAGTCTATTAATTCCTTGAAGCTCACATAACCGCACCTACCCAACAACCCAATTGTCTACCCCCTTCATCTATCTCAGAAGTAATGGGTAAGAGCCAGATAGCCAGAGAATAAACAGTAAAGGGGAATTCTGACTAGGAGTTCCTAAATAGGGCTGAAGAAAAGCAAGAGAGGGCAATGTTCCCTCTTAAACTATCCATGGCTGCACTCTAGTTATATCAGAATAAGGATGTGCATGCTAAAAAAAAATTATTTTGCCTTCCATCCTGGGGTGTGAACATCCCCCAACTTTTTATTCTCTTCACAATGTTCTTTCTGAAAAGACAAAAATATAAACCTTGTCTAGGATAAACTAAAGGGGATTTATCTATTCTTAAGGCACATAACTTAAAAGAACAAACTGCTCTTAGTTACATCACATGGTAGGAACACTCACTGAAGATGAAAAACTGGTAAAGACCTGTGAGTTAGAACAAAGGATGCAAATGGAGAGAGGAAGAGGGAGTAGCTTGTTGTCAAGAGGGAGGGAAGACACAAGAACTCAGAGTCCACAATAGTTTTAACCTCCTATTCCTTTACAACCTGGGGTAGTGTTAGCAGTTACCTTAAAAGAAGATAATTGAGTTAATCACCTAAAATATTCTTAATCCTTCCAAAAAAGATATCCAGGAAAATAAAACAACATTTTGAATGTATCAGGGTACTGTAATAAAAGAATCTACATACCTTATTGGCATTACTTTAGGGCAATTCTTAAAAAGTTATTTTAAACAGCTGTATATTTTAGCATTTAAATTTCATTTTATGTATTTAGTATTTATTCAAGAGTTGATGCATAAAAATAGTTGAGGTTCCCATCTTCAGGGTATTTAATGAGAAGGGGTTAGTCAGGTAGAATATAAATGAATTCCATTTCCAGCAGCAGAATGTAGAACACATGTCCATTGAAATCATATCACTAAAAAATCACATATAAACATTGGATAAACTATCTAACACATTCTCCACTGCATAGATGAACTTACAAAGATACAAGAGAAATCCAGAAGCCAGAAACTTAAAGGGAAATTTCCATAGACTAGCTTTTGGCTCCATATATTTTGAACCTTTCTCCTCTCAGTCCACAAACTTCCAGTGCTGGCAATGAAAGGACATATTCATTTTGGAATATAGCCTCTGGCTTTTCACCTTTATTTGACAATGGCTGGGTGAGCTGGCACAGTGGCCAATAAAAGAATTTTTGGAAGCCTTTCCTACACTAAGATGACTAGCAGTAACATCTATACAGGGAAGTGACTGTGAAACCAACTGAACTTCCCTTTAGCAGGACCCTCAAAATGTTCATAGCCTCTCCAAAACTACCTGATATGAAAGGAAGTGTGATGGAGGTAAGTACAAATAGGAAAAAGACAAAGATCATAACTGCTTACAATTACAATGCATTATTTTTTTAAATTTTACAAAGCATACAACTAAGTGAATACATTGCTGGGGCCTTGGCAGGGCCTTGGAAGTTACCTATGCAAATGAAGACCCCTAAAACTAAGCTTCATGATAAATCCTCCTCCTCTCTCTTTCTGTGTGTGAGCCTATGTGTGCATTTTTTATAAGAGGAAGGCTTGACTATGTTTGTAGGCACACCTGAGGGGAAAGAGGTAGAATCAAGGATATATGAAAGAGTGAATTATAGGTGAAACAAGGGCTGGAAGGAGACAAAAAGGGATGGAGCAAGGAAGTACATACAGATGAAGGGGTTAAGAATGTAGAAGGATATAGGAAAGTTAAGAGGAGCAATAGTAGAAGGAAAGAGATTACTTATGCTTGATGGACCCTACTCAGTCAAATAGGTGATAAAGTCAGAAGATAAGGATGAATTGAGGGCTTGGAGAGAATAGCTTGGGCTTCAATAGGTGCCTTAAGGAAAAAGAAAGTTACAAGGAAGAGACCAAATTGAGAACCACTGGCATATTTTCTAAGAAGCACTCTGGGCCTGGAGAAATGAAGGCACAGAATAAAACTTTAAGTATAAGCTCAAACACCTCTAGAATCAGTAACTCTTCCTTTGGGAGCTTTCCCTCTGCAAGGGAAATATGAGAGTTTTCAAATTACTGTTGTTGACAAACATTATCTCCTTGGTGGTTGAACCAAAAAACAGGTAGTAAGTTTGAATGATCCTTCAAGAGGCATGAAATGTGGCAGAAGGAAAACCCAGAAAATTAGGCATCTCACTAATATGAAGGAACAAACAAATCTACCCAGGAGTGATCAGAGAAAGCTACAAAGCAGAAACAGGAAAAGTTCTGTATGGAAGGCAAGAAAGGTTTCTAAGGGCTCAGCACTGAAGAAAAAAGCCAAACAAACCAGCCTTGAAGCACTGTGGTGTGTTGTAAGAGTGGCCCGTAGTCCAGTGTGGCTAAAGGTTGGGTAAGAAAGATGTCAAAGTGGAATGAGAAGGCCAGTTGGTGAAAGACCATTTGGCTCTGACAGGAGAGTGGAGTAATCCCACTGGCAGAAGATGATGCTGTCACTGATGACAGGCTGGCAGGGGGTGAGCCTGAAGGAAGGGAGACCAGTTAAAAGGTCAGGTGATAAATGAAGGGAAATAATTCTTTCCAAACACAATGTAAAACAACAGTGGGTTAAATAGGCCTTCTATTTTCTCTCTTTGGGTTGAACAAAGTTTAATATCCATGTCCATACAATTATAAGAAGCTATCTAAAAAAAGACCTTTTCCCTGCACTGAAGAGCTTTCTCTTAGTCATTTATCTACAATTTACTAATCAATTTTACTAATTAAATTAGTTATTATTCATTTATTGATTCTAGGTGAGATCCTGTGAAAAGTTAAATTGAATGTTTTTCATAAGTCAACTGACAGCCTTGCTAAATTAAGGCTGATCCTATATCGAATTACAAAAGCAGTAAATTTGAATTTCCCTTACTGTGCACTCTAATGTTTGGGCCACTATGAGTTTTCAAAGTGTTATTATACCTTAACACACAGGACAATTAACACTACAATCTCACTCTCAGAAGATAGCCATAATTTAACAGTGACTCTGCCAGCAGATAATACAACTTTGCAATTTCAGCTTCCACAAAAGTACTGGTTACATTTATCAAAAATCATTAACACCTGTATGGCACAATGAAGTATTTGTGAGTGTGTGTTAAAACACCATTTATAAACTCATACTACAAAACTAGAGACCCAGCCTACTCCTCTAGAGGTCTAAGCGATTAAAGTTGGATTCTGTATGTTGGGGTACTTTTATTTTATTCTTTTTCAAAAATGACTTGTCCATTTTGTGCTTTGAATTTCTTGTCAAGTATGTGCTTTTTAAGGATGTATGATTTAAACTGTATTCAGATCCACAGTCACAAATTTTCTATCTTTTACAATAAAAGCAAAGGGCAAAATCACTATAATCAGTTACAGCACATAGTACTTAAATAATCTAGAAAGCCACATGTTTTGAAAACCATGTTGTTAACTGAATCTTAATTTATCATTGATCAAAGATTCTGAGCCACTTTTGTTTTAATCAATCTCTATCCCTCTTTTTGTTCTTGATTCCTTGCCTGCTTATTTTGTTTTCAATCTGTAAACATACACTGGCACCTACTATAAGCAAGGCATTCTGTTAGATGCCAAGAATTTCAGAAGTAGAATTTTGGACGTTTACAGTCTAGCAGGGGAGACAAACACATAAACCAGTGTAGGGTAATCATTACATAATGGAGAGATAAGTAGGCCACAGAAACCAGAAAGGACTTGTTGCTTGCATTTGATCACATGCACAGAAGTCATTAACAAGAATTTTGAAAATATGCAAACATCTTGATTCATATTACAATGAAAAAAAGACCACAGGATCCTCAAGGCATAGCCTGGTAGGGTACTTCAGGGAAGGCTGGGCCAGAAGAGATCAGTGAGGGTAGCCACAGAATCAAACTTATGCAGGCATCCTTCGCTTTCCATCATTCGTCCAGCATGGTCTCTCTGTCAGAAAGGGATATGGTGAAATTGTTCTGACATTTACGAACTTACCAAGCATTCTCTCTGGGAAAAAAAAAAAAAATCTTTTACAAAGATTACATTTGTGTTGCAATGCATCAAAAAATATCAACAAGAGTAACAAAAAATAAACAAGGAGATCAGAAACACATTGCTGAATTAGTAAAAACTGGACATTTCTAGAGTCAAAGACAGCAGTATTGTGAATGATTTGCAGTTAACAGACTATAAATGTACTTTCTTTGCAGCTGGACAAAGTCGTGGAAAAACATAAAGAATCTCACAGACGAATCCTGGAACAGCTTTTAATGGTAGAAAAATCTCATAGGCAAACCATACTGGAGTTAGAAGAAGAAAAGAGAAAACATAAAGAATACATGGAGAAGAGTGATGAGTTCATAAGCTTACTAGAACAGGAATGTGAAAGGTAAGGCTACTTTGGGCAAGACAATAACCCATTCTGCAAATTCTAACTCACCTCTCACTATGGGCTGGGCATTCACTGTACCAGGAACACAAGGATGAATACAAAACAGCCTCTGATCTCAAAGGTCTCATGGTTCAAAGCGAGGACAAGGATATATTTAAAGACAATATCAATACAATGGAAGAATAAATGGGTGTGATCAGGACTGTGGGAACATAAATGCCGGGCACCTGATTCTACAAAGGAGTGCCCTGTGAAAGCTGCACAGAGGAGGTGCCAGGGGTCTAGTCACTATGCAAACAAAAGTGGAATTATATACAAGGCAGGGGCAGCAATAAGTGTTGCAGCATAGAGTTAGAAAATAGCCTGGGCACTGAGGGAACTCAAGTTTTCTACATGGCCACAGTGCTATAATTGCAGGATGAAAAAAATGAAAGGCTAGCTAAAAGCAGTTGGATTTATATTGCTGGCAAGAAGGAGCAAATGACAAATTATGAGAAGAGGAATGGGTTATCAGGTATGTTTCTTAAAGAAACATTAAGGTAAAATGGAGTAAAGACAGGAGAAGCTTGAGATGGGTTCCAGTGACTGTAGGGTCAGAGAGGATAGGTGTGAACAAATAAAATCTGTGATGCAGAGTCAATGTGAATTAGTGACCAGTAAGACTGGAGAGCAGAGCAAGAAAAACAGACTTACTGAGAAGTATTCCTGAATATTTGCCAGGTACAAAGCACAGGAATGGGGCACAACTTTTTGTTGTTGCAGGATTGTGGTAGGGGAGATGATTCAAAAGGGGAAGGGCTTCTATTTTAGGCACGTTGAGTATGAGGTGCTTGGTGTATTCAATGCCCAGTGGGGAGAATGATATGTCCAAACAGACAACCCACAGTTGAACATACAGGTCTGGAGGAGGTGGGTGTGTGATGTGGATTTGCAGCTGGTGATAGCTGAAGCGGTGGATGTCGGTGTGCTGTCAAGAGAGAATTCTGAGAAGGGAACACTAGAAAACATCAATCCTTAGAGGTTTTCTGGAGGAAAAAAGGTCAAGAAAGGAATCTGAAAAAGAATGGTAAAGGGCGGGAAGAACCAAAAGACAAAGAAAGCAAAAAAAAAAAACAAGCAAGGAAAGACCTTCAGGAAAGAGTAAGCTGCCAAAGAGCACCAGATAACACAGAAAAAATGAGAAAATGTTCTGGGATAAGGAAGACACTGGGGAACTCAATGAGCTCTTTCAGTAAGACAGCTAGGGCAGAAACCAAGCTGCAATGTTTTGAAGAATAAATAAGAAATGAGAACATAGACTCTTGACATGTGAACTAGTATTTTGAGAAGCTTGGCTGCAAAAAAGGGAAAGATTGGCTGGTAAACATTTTATAACCATATGGAGGGCAGGTTATTTTTTTTGCTCCACTTTGACCCTCCGTTCTAAATCACTTTAGAAAGTATGAGCATCCATGTAAAATGTAAAGGACAATTAACCCTCTCTACTGATACTGCAGAGAAAATAACCAAGTTCTCCAATGTCAAATTTTTACTGGATCTTCATTTCACTCTTGTTTTTACATGTGTACTTCCTTGATGAGTTACAGAGCTAATAATGCTGGATTTTAATACTCACAGAAAAATGCAGGAAAAAAATTACATGTGAGCTCCCTTTTCTAAAATACCACTAATCTCAACAGCTTTATTTTACTTATAATACATTACTTTAGCTAGGTAACCAAAGTTACATGGTAGCTAGGCTACTGGCAAACTTTCATTTCTTTTCAGTGTACTTCACAGTAGACCCTTGATTAAACAGAATCCCAGAGAATCCATGGCTTTCAAATCCAGTTTGGTTTTTCCAGATTTATCAGGAAGCTTTTCTACTCATTACATAGAGAGGGGTCTTGCTACCTTGCTCCTCATGAATTTGACTTATCTTAAGGGGAAGATTAAAGGAACACAAGAAGTCTGGCACCAAGGGAATATTTGACTGATATTACAATATGAGATTTATTATTCAATGAGACATTACATTAAATATTCTTTTGAACCTTTGTGGTCTGGCGCCAATGGCCTCATTTGGCCCCCACACACCTGCTGAACACAGACACTTCCTTTCATCTCTCATTTCTATGAGCACTTACTGACCATGGTTAGAGTGTGGCATGCCATGGAACAATGAGGTACTGGCCATCCCTGGGGGCCCACCACATACAGAGTTAGGCAAGACAATACAGATTTAGGGTGGGAATGTGGAGGGCTGTTGGCGGTAAAGTTCTAATATCCACTGTTGTTCTCTATTGTCTTTCGGAGGAAGGCTGAGGAGGACTACCCAGGAGTTAACACTGTAGTACGGGGAGGCCAGTGATGAAGAGCATTTAAACCAAGAGAGAGCAAAGAGGAACAACACTGAGAAAATGGGAATAAGGCCATGGGCTAGAGAAAAAAGGAAACAGTGGGATGAATATAAATTGTGCACTGTGGAATCAACATACTATGCATTGTTTTTCTACATTTATCCAACAGGAAGAATTTAAAAGATCATGGTTTTTAGCTTTATAGGACACAAGGTTTAATGAACGTGAACATCCATTACCTTACCAAAAAAATAGGAAAAAGCTACTGGAGTGTTATTCCCTGTTTACCCATTCCGGAAGATTTGAGAATATTCACCTATTTCTGTTTGCCAGGGAACAGCTTTCAGATGGAATTCTTTGGGTGCGAGAATGTTAAGCCTATTCTCAACTCACATTAGGTACAGAGGTAATTCTTCCCCCACTCCACTCGTACAACATCACAGTTCCTGTATGTTGGCATTGTTGGTGCCCTGGCCCTCTTTGTACCCCTGCCTCCTGCAGGGAGACTGTGGGCCTTCTGAGGCATAACTGACTTCCACCTGCTTTCAGGCCATGCGCTTCAAAGCATTAAACAAATAACACCTAACAGAATAGGAGGTGGGGGAAACTCTAATAAATTTCTGGTAAATATACACAGAGGAGGTGCTTATACCAGAGTGAAATACCATTCACATGTGTCATTGTAAGATGACAAATGACAAAACACACACCTTGGCTGAGTCCTAACTTTAGTGAGAGTAATTCCTCTCAAGCACACAGCCACCCCTCACAAAAACAAGATTAACTTGTCCTTAGGATTCAAAGAACAATGTTTACTTCCTTCCTCAAACAAAGTGATGTAAGCCACTCCCAAATCAGTGACCCTCAGTACAGAGAAACAAAGAAAGATATCATAATCCCCATAAAAAGGGGTTGGGTGAGAGTAGCTTTAAAGGACTATCTGATTGAAACTCTGAAAAAACACTGTGGAAGTTTAATGCTCGTATTTTAACTATTGGATAATATCTACTTGGAAATACAATAAAAATTAAGAAATGTATGATGAAGATAGTTAATGAGACCTTAGAGGGTGTAAAAATGGATTTCAAATTAAGGCTTAGTTTTTGTGTTTTCTTTGAAGAATTCTTTTTATGTGGAAAACCCTAAAAGACTGATGTCACACATTGAGTTTAGGCCAAAATGTTTGCCAAGTGATGTCCTTGTCGTAATCAGTAAACAACTGGCTCTCCCACTTTGGGAGGGAGGGAGCAGGGATCAGCAGGTTAACACAGTTTCCTCTGCTGTAATCTATGCCGTTTAGTCTGTTCATAAGGTAATATTGTATCTCATTTCATGACAACTTTCTGTTCACTGACCAGCTCCAATATGTGGATGTGTGTGTCACTGATGACCTGAATTATGTACTTGGCTGAATTACAAGTGGAGTCTATGTGAAAGGTTTTATACAAAAGCAATGCCAGTAATTTTTGGCCTTTCTGGATGGCTTCACAGGAAAGCCAAAACAAAAATCACTTTTAGAGCAGTTTTGCAAAATTTTCCCATAAGTCAAATTCCAATTTTGTCTGTACTTTCAAAAAAGCTTGCATAATTTTTTTCCTTTTTCAGTTTCAATGGGGAAAAAGGCTGTGAAGAAAAAGAAAAGTTTTTCTTGAAACCATACATTTTTTTTTGAGAGTACAAAAACAAACCATGTATACTAATCATCTATATTACTGCCTTTCTGCCCTTGAAATACCCACTAAAATGAGAAACAAAATTGTTATGGCAACTGTGCATAAAAATGTGACTCCAAGAATGGATTTTTTTAAAGCCTTAAATTACTTTTCATAATATCTTGGCCAAGTAGATCAGCACTGATATTCTGATTTTTATAAAGCAGGAGTTCAAATGGTAGCTTCTTAAGAGCCACAGGGGGAGGAAGGAGTCACAGGTGGAATTAATCTCTAGTTCCTGCCTGGCCCAGGCGTGACAGATGCAACAGTGGCTAAGGGAGCATAGGGGTTGCCGGAGGAGTTGTAGGGACTCAGCTACAAAGGCTGTTGCACTGGCCACACCTTGGCCTAGTCCTCTGGTGATTAGGTTTTAATAAAGAACAAACACTTCTACCTCTCCCTTGGACTGAAGCAACTTCATAAAGAAATATTTCCATCATCAATCCTTCTCTACTATGATAGTCTTACTTTCCAGATTGACATCTGGAAAGGTGACTGAAACCCTAGAGCCACATTTGACCTTCCTGTTAACTGACTGCACAGGACTACTTTCAAAGGCTTCTCTAGAAGCATCAACTCTTCTTTCTAGAGACTTTGAGTATTCCTTTGAAATATACATAAATGAATGAGTATATTAGTTTACCTAGTTTTTTAGTTAGCCTGACTGACTAGTTAGTGAACTAGTTAGTACTGCTTGCCATTCATTCATTCATTCATTCACTCAAAAAAATCCAATTAATTAAATGCCTGCTAATTAAATGCCAGGTTCTGTACTAGATACTATGTGGAGGAGATAGGTATGGTCTCTACTTATATAAAACCCCAACTGATTTGCATATCTCTAAAAGAGAGACACCACTGTGAATTTCAGGACTTGATATTGATGTTTCCAAAGCACTCTGAAAGCATTATGGTTAGGAAAAAGGCATCTTTATGGTAAAATAAC